ACATATACAAGTGTTATGATTATTTGTAATTGATGGGATTGAATGGTGAATGGGAGCTGGGCCGGAAAATCGAAAAAATATTCTCATGAGAAATATCACATTTATAAGTACCACATTACATGAATAATACAAACTGAAGACATTTTTTAAAAGGAAAGTTTCCCAAAAAAGAGTCATCTGGATGCTTCCTGTTGTTTCATACAGTAATGGAGCGGAGTGGGAAGATGATATGAAATATTTGTCTCTTTAGTTAATAGTTTAGGAAATGTTACATTAATGCAGTGTTACATTGTATAGCAATGCTCACAAGTTTGAATAATTCATTGTTGTTTTGTTTCATTTCAAAGGATATTCTCATAGTAAAGAATCTTCCAAAACATCCAGCATTCTTTGCAAATGCTTCCTATCTCTATGGACAAAGGTACTCAAAATGTTCCTTACTTTACAAAGTGTTGTTTCTGTATTCTTTGTGTATATTAAGATTTTCCACTTGAAATAATCGTTGTAGTTTTTGGTATCAGCTAGAATAATCACCTAGTTACATAACAGCTTGACATTTGCTTGCAGTTTCTGTAGTTATAGGACAGAATTGATCAGTTATGGCACTTTGTCGACTCGAGTACTACATAAACTTAACTCTCCAAGGGCTTCAGTGCACATGTTCCCAATTCAATTTATTCACCAATTTAAACTATTACCAGACATTGTGACATTCGTTCTCATAATACCATAAACAACAAGAGCCTTTTAATTTTATTGACAAAATCAAGTTGGAAATTACTAACTATGCATTTTATTACAAAGGAACAGTTATATATTTTACCTAACATTTTAGGATTTTAGACATATTTTTTAAATAATTTGTCTAATTATTGAGCAAGCATTTTTAGAATTTTATAGCATCTAATTGCACTTGTCCAGCTTTTCTTCTTCTGAAACACTTTAATTTGTTTTATTATTATAATTACTTATTTGTTTATTCATTTATTTATTTACCACTTATTTAAATATTTACTTATTTACCCATTCATTGTTTTAACAGTGCCCAAATCGATAACAATTTTATTAATAACTGCAGAAGTGGTTACCCTGCATAAATATTTTTAATACTTATATTATATTTATTTGAAATTTCAACAATGAGAAAAACAGTCACAAGGTCTCTCTGACATAATTGTCTAAATACGTCTTATATTATTTTCCATTTATGCAGTTGATCATTTCATTATACTGTTTTGTTTCAGATATCTTGGTGATGGGATGCCATTCAACACAGACGAAAAGTCTTGGAAAAAAAGACGTGTAGTGTTGGAGCCAGCTTTTCATTACAAGTAAGCACATTAAATTGCAAATATTAGCAATTAAAAGGTGATCTGAGAAAAGTTACCTTTGAAAATTTAGATGACAGTTGATCATGATCTGACACATGTTTCTAGCTGCAAACGGGATGCAGACTCACAGGAATAAATATTCAAAACAAAAATTTAATTGCTAAATTACTTACTGCTCTACCCAAGGGCAGTGTTTATAGCAAACTGATGAAACGGCACTTAACAACGTGTAAGAGTCACTTTGGGATATTTGGGTGTCTGTCGGTTAAAGCACTCTAATAAACATTATAAGTTCTCACTCGATGAATGCGAATCGATTTTGTTCGTTACAAACCACATACCTTATCTTTGAGGCTCTTCAGATTTTTTTTCCAACAGCTTCATTGATTTTTACAGCTGCGAAGTTGTTTCATCAAGTGATACGAGAAAGAACGAAGCATAAAGCTTCGACCGCTTCGCATCCACAGTGGCGGTTGTTTTGAAACTTTGAATTTACTTCGTGTACGTAGTTGCGACACGTTCACATTTAAATTTGTGATGTCTTGCATGACACAAAATATAAAACGAAAAGAAACTCTCGAGAGTGCGCAGTGCGGACTGGAAATCATCTATAACCCTTACAATTATTGACAGCTAACTGCCGTTAAGCCAACTACTTAGCCTAACCTGAGCACTCTTTAGGCTAACCCTCATGCCATAATTTCCATCATTTGGTCATTTCGTGTTTTAAACACACTACTGCCAAAGAAAGTAAATGAAGGGATATGTGCATTTGTTGCATAGGGAGCGTTATGACACTCTCATCCTCTGAAAAACTGGGACCTAGTTTTTGTTCAAGGATGTGTTTATAATATATGATGCCGTGTATTATATGGTTCCTTTGGTATTGCATTTTGAGCCTCTGCGTTTTGCCATATTCAATTGCAGTAAAAAGTTACGAACATTTTCGAAATAGGATTAAAAAAACGTGGAATGATCGTGCAAAAATCACTCTCAGGGGATAAAAAATTATATTTTAAACTAGCTACCGTTCAAATTCGAGGGCGATCGAAGAAATCCCCTTTGAGTTGCAACTCTTTAAAGTGTCTGCTTCAAGCGAAAAAATTTATTCGAGAAAACAGCGCTAAGAAAAATCTCTTGCTTCGCACACAACTCCCCACACAAGCACTGTATTCGACTGGGTTCTCAGACAACTGAGCCAATCAGTGCAGGGAAAGTTTACTACAATACCGGCGTTAACCTTCTGGTGAAATTTACGCTCGATTCTCCGGAAAAAAAAAACCTGTTTCGCAATGCGCTTAAGGCGGAGAGATAATTTTTCCGTAGCTCGGTTTTCTTGAAGCTGATCTGGCGAAATGAAAAAGACGAAAAAGGGTACGAACGCTAAGGTGACTGGGCGAAGCGAACAAACAAAAGAATGCGCGACGGAGCAACTGAGCATGGCTAATATTTCAGTGGGTCTGAATGAGTCCAACGATTCGTCGGTAACGGACTCCTCGATCAGAAGAGTCTCTTTCAACATCGCTGTTATCGCTGTCAAGTTCCCAAATTTTTACAGAACCTTTCTCTTCTCTTGACTCGATCGACTCGATACGGTAATCTAAGGCTGCTGTTTACAAAATTATCATTAACTAATTTACCACTTCTAGAGTTTTAGGGGTCATGCAAACATATTATTTTGCATATTTTATTTTTTTAATCAGGTGCCTTAAAGAACTGATGAGTTCTTTCAATACCACTGCCAATCTTCTACTCGAACATCTTGGCACAATGGCTGATGGAAAAACAGAAGTTTGTATGTATGACCAGTTTGCCCGTGCAGCATTAGATGTTATTTGTAAGGTAAAGTGTAAATACCTACCCATACTGAAAAGACAATCAATTTGGCAAATGCTGCCGTTATACATAAAGTATACTGTTTTTTTAATATTGTGCTTCTTTGTGGGTTTTGACAGGTCGGCTTTGGAATGGATATGAACGTTATATGTGGAAAGGACACCAAATTTATTGACGCAATTGCCCTTACTTTTCTTGGATGTGATGTGGCAATCTTTGAACAACCATTTCACAAGGTAATAACAAGCATAGCATTAAGCTCTTACTAATGCAAATATTGTAAATCTGTTAGGCTGAGCTGCCGTACACTATCAATCAATGTTAGTTCACTATTAAATTTTCCTTTGTCGTCATTGTCCAAAACCGATTACGCGGTCAGATCTTGCACGGGTACGATTATGCAATTAGATTATTCGCTGTCGACTTTTTATCGCGTGATAGTTGACGAGGGCGCAGCCCAAGTCGACTATCTCGCATAGAAACCGAGAGCGAATAATATAATTGTTTTAGTGTAAATCTACTAGTCGTTCAAAACTTTATCTAAATCCTCTTCACAGACCATTCAAAAACGCCAAGAAGCTGCCGTCATTTTGTTAACAAGGGCGCACTGCTACGCTACTTGTTATCTATTACAGAATAGATAGTGAGTAGCGTAGCCAATCAGAGAACGGCATTCGCGATAGAACGCTAGTAGATTTATACGTACAGAATATAGAATGCCCACGGGTGACTATCAGACGATTTGAAGATAGATCTAAGTAGTTTTTAGGCTGAAAACCGCGGTAAACTGTGGTAAAATAAAGCGTCGAGCGGGCGCTGGAGAGCTTCCAAGATTGTGAAGAAAAACTACTAGGTTTCATTTTCAGTTCTTCCACGTTCTTGAAGGTCAACAATTGACAGAAAATTTTTTGTTTATTTTACTCAAAGAGGATACCTTGATAGAAAATACGAAAGCTCCAAGCGCTCCATAGCGGTTGAAAATTTCAATAGATTCATGTCATTTCAGTTTTGAGACATGTCACTACAATTCAATACAATTAAGACAATAGAGTTCTTATGTCACAGACTTATGGGCTCATAGATTCCCTTAGAAGTTTTATGTCCTGAAACCTACATAAAAGCACCGTTTGCTTTCTGATTGAACCAGAACTTTGCTCTCGGGCCAATATTTGTTTTTTAGAACATAACATTCCTAAGGGCAACTATCAGTCCACAGGTCCTCAACAGGAATACTCTGTTGTTTATTTAATAATAATAATAATAATAATAATAATAATAATAATAATAATAA